GAAGAGAGGTGAGGAAGTAGAAAAGATCCACTTAAAATCAAGATGACTGTTTTCATTTCTCTTTGCAGTACTTTCAGCCACCTGGCTTAGTAGGTTGGGTTTTTTCAAGCCTTTTTAAAGTTCAAGAGGACTCCATAGCGCATGTCTGATACTCACTACCAACCATGCATCCACAATTAGCTGAATAGTGACTTGCAAAGGGAATTGATATACCAATAGAAATTCTGAGCTGTTTTCCACCTTCATCAGGTTGCACTGCTTTGCTGTCTGATATGATTGTTTGCTTGGTGGGTGGTCAAGGGAAGGTAGTTAAAGCTCGTGTGGGCTCTGTGAGGCTTCTCTGCTGGCTAGAGTTGGCATGATGGATTGAATACTCAAGTGGAAATAAAGTAGTCTGGGTTTTCCTCTCACCTGTGTGATCTTAGGAATAGAATTACTTTATTAATTAAAATATTAATGTTACTTAATGTTGATTATTGTGTAATATTTGAGTTGTGGAGATTTCATGATCTGTTGTAGCCATCATAGAGAACTTTCCACCTGGTGTGCATTCATAAGGACTTACGGGTATTATGAAGTGTTCTTACAGGTCCCTCTCTTTTGTTATCAGGGAAATTGTAACTATATTTGGGAAGTATGACTTTTGAAAAAGTATTTTTTTTTTCTTTTTAACAATTGAGGTCATTTCTTTTCAAGAATCAAGAAAAGTTTATTACTGAACGGTTCTAGTTCTGGCACAGAATGTTTCTTCGTATGCCATTAGAATTAAGTATGATTGACCCTTCTCAAAAAATTATTTTATCTTTGATGCCTTTCGTAACTCTGAGCTTTATATTGTTATGTGAAAACTGAAGAGTAGGAAAATTGTTTTGTTTTATGAGGGAATTACCTCTTGGCTCCAGAGTCCAAATTACTTCTTTTTAAAGTTTAAATTTTAAAACATGTATGTCCATTGTAGAAAATTATCCAGTTAGCCACTTATGCCACCAGCCTAAGACGTCTTTGTTGATATTCGGTGTATTTCCTTCTGGCATTTCAGTACAACATTGGATGTTGAGATAAACTTTTCTGTACTTTCTGTACCATTTTATATCCTGTTCATTTAGTGTTGTTGCAACATTAGCATTTCCTGGAGGAGGTGATTTTCTCAAAGAACTGGTAAGACATTCTTCTAGAAAATGGTTGTGATTTTTTTTACCTAAATGGAAAATTCTTTCTTGTATGTATTTTTTTTAATGAACAGAAAGTTGTGGTACTGCATGGTTACTTGCAATGAATATGGGGTAAATCTTACCATGTCGTTACCTGATTGAGCAGTGTTATATATCATGTTAGTGCTATCCCACCTCTGTAATATTGAACTTCTTCCTTACATTTACAATTTGTATTTATAAGGGAATAAGTTGTGGGGGGTTTTTTGTTTTGTTTTTTAATACTCACCTGAGGACATTTCTTCACTGTATTTAGATAGAAAAGGGAAAGAGAAACATCAATGTGAGAGACAAGCATTGATTGGTTGCCTCCCATACTCACCCTGATTCATCATAAGGGCCTGGACTGGGGATTGAACCGGCAACCTTTTGATTACAGGACGACACCTCAACCAACTGAGCCATACTGGCCAGGGCAAGGGAAGAAATTTTTAATTATTTTTAATTAAAAAAGGATTTTTAAAAGAAATGCTGGCCTCCATGCTGAAGCCTGTATTATTTTAAAGAAAGAGCTATAATTCTTACACAGACTTTTGAGACTGATTGATACTTTCTTAAGATAACAAAATGGAATAGCTTGTAAGTGTTATGCACATGTATCCAAAAATGCTTATTAGACACGTGGCTACGTTTTTTTTTTTTCCTCGTATCTCTAGGATGAAGCATTTTAATAAAATAAGTTTATTTTTATGACTTCTGTACTAGGAAAACTAGTAAGCTGCATTGTGTATTTCGTGTTATGTGTAAATTGGAATTTGGTGGGACTACAGGAATACTCTTAGAAAACTAAGATCTAGCTTTAAATTTTGGTGATAAGTCTGATAGAAAAATGATATAAGAAGGAATTTATTAATTTGTGAGCAGTGGCAAGAAAGGACAGTTTATAAAATAAAGTGATAAAACAGTTCTTTCCAAAAATCCCTTATTTCTAATTTTGTGCACTAGTTTATTTCTATAGCTTATATGCAAGGAAGAGTTAAAATTAATTGTCTAAATTAGAAAGGTGTTCTTTTGGACATAGGATTTAGGCTATTATAAATTATCTTAGATTAATCTGGATAGATATTTAATCTGAAAAAATGTTTTCAAATATTTGGGTGGTTTATGTTGTTGTAACTAATTTTGGCTCTTTTGGAAGTTTTAAGTGACGCACGTAGAAAATGTTAGCAGGAAATTTGAAACTGTGTTCAGTTGGAGTCTGCATAATTTTGATGTATCTGCAGAGCAAAAGAAAATAGCTTATATTTTCCTGAGTATAAGTAAATACTGTCTCGCTACTTGTGAACCAGACTAAAAGGCATGAGTGGTAGTACCTTAATTATACTTTAATGATAAAGATGGCGTTGCCCTTATTAAAAGCATGTGCTGTGTGTCACATTAATACTTTACAATGCTTTTTCCAATAAAAAATGAATAGAGAATGTTATTAAACAAAAAAGTAGGTCATCTCAAAGATAAGGAACAATAAATAGGTCCTTTGTGAAGACCAGGCAGCGCTGGAAGGGCAGTAAATGAAAGCAGAAGTGAAACTGCTCTGTGGCAGGCTCTGAGGACCAGGAGAGGCGACATGTACCCTGTATGTAAGCTGACCTCTTTACTGTATTTTGAAATTAAAATTAAGGGGGTGAAAAAGACATGGAACTCATTATAGAGATGGTATATTCAATGAAATATGATTTTAAGATCTTTTCATTTTAGAGTCATTTTCAAAGCTATAAACAAATTCTTTAAATAGAATTAGGCCTGGTTTTATGCCTATTGTCTTTAAGGAATTAAGTATAATTTTATAATCTTTCAAATAGTGTGAACACAGGAGTATCATGTTATATTTCATATTTTCATGTGACTATGAAGAGACAATAGAGGAAGGACAGATAAGATGGGAAATTGGTTTTTAATTTACCTTCGTTATTAGTTACTTCTGTAGATTGAAATGAAGAGTCTTGATTCATTAACCAGTTGTAACCCTAAACTTTTTTCATTTTGTACCTTACATCTTTTTAGCATTTAATATCTTACTGTAAAACTTACATAAGTAAATGCTAGATGGAAAAGCTTGTATTACACAAAGCCTATACATAAAATATTGTCCAAAAGGATCCTTATTTAGATATGACTTCACAAAGATATTTGCAGGGCTAAAATTACTAGTGTATGCAAATGTGAATTATTTTTTAAAAAACCTATAGGTCACTTTTAAAGGCAAGTTAATAAGTTTCCTGTTGAATAGATTTCTCCAAACAGGCTGAATGAAGCTTGCTTAATGAATAATTAGGAAACATTTTGTTTGGACTTGTTTGGGGATTATAAAACTGATGAAAATTAAAGGCATATTGCAGATAGATAGAAACCTTATGGCAATAGATGCAATACAGTGTGGCAATAATACAATTCACAGTTGTAATTAATTTAAGAATAAACAGATTTCTAGTTTTCTCTCCTGTCTCTTGATTTTTTCCTCATTGAAATATTTCAAACTTGCGAATAGGACTAAATATGCATGGAAAGTATGCAAACTACTTTAAACTATTGGACTTAGCCATTTTAGAAAACAAATCTCTATTTAGTAGTTTGCTAGTACTTCAGGAAATGTTTTGCTGTTAAATTATTAAAATACTTCTTCCTTTTCCAACTACATTTCTGTTTAAGGCCAGATTTTCATCATATACTTCAACCAAAACAACCTAAAGTAGCAGTTCAAATGCAGAAGCAAATAAGCGTCTCACTGTCTTTTATTAAGATACACTAAAGTATGTTCACAGGTAATTGGTTTACTATTGGTATTTTAAAATGAATTAATAAATATTTGTTAAAATTTCTCAGTTTCATTTTCTAATACGATAAATATCAACAGCTATAACCCTCATGAACAAAGTCTCTTTGGGATCCTGAAGATGTGAAAAGGGATCCTGAGACCAAAAATTGTGACAACTGCTACTTTAAGGCCTTGTGACTGAAAGTGTGGTCCCAGAAATCACCTGAATTGCAGAAACTACTCCTTCCCCCTACAGTTAGGCAAGGTCTTCCAGTGAGTCTCCCGCACAGTAAGGAATCACTGCCTTCAAGAACTTGTGGAAGCAGCTTCAGGCAGGGGAAGTAGATGATTGTAGAAATCCAACAGGAAAGTGAAAACATAGGAAAAGAGCACTAGGAGACCCCAAGACCCAGAACCTCCTTTCCCCAAATGGTTTCCTCTTATGTATCCTGTTCAAGTATTTCCTGTTAGGAATGTATTCTTACACAGTTCAGGTGTTTGAAATTACCTGGAGGTCCTACTGAAATCTGGTCTGAGAGAGAGTAGGCTGGTCACTCAGGAGAAGAAGACCTTTTGGAGATGGGAGCCCTGCAGCATTATTCAAAATCTTCCTTAGCAAGCTGTGTCTCCAGGCACATGCCTGCTACTAGAAAACTTTTTATACAGTGTTCTAGCCTCATCTCAGGTTTGTTCTTGTCTCTGAAGATAACCACAACTGGTATAAACTTCAGGTAGGAAAATGTAGACAAAAAGAATCCCACTTAAATTTTAGTTATCAAAAGCATACATATAATCCTGTCCAGCTAGATGATCACTTGAGGGTATCACTAATTAAAGCATTTGTGAAATTAACCAGGCTGTGGCACCTTGTGGCAGGGGCAGACATTTTAAATGTTTTTAGTGGGGTTAGCTGTTCAGTCTGAAGCAAACTATGTTTGGACTAAGTGAACAACCAGACAGTTTAATATAAACTGTTTTAACAAAGTCTTCCATTTCTAAGCCCTAATAACTGTTTGTTTTCTTCTTGCTTTTAGGGTGAATCTGTAAAATATTTCCTGGATAACTTGGATAAACTTGGAGAACCAGTAAGTTTTTTAACTGAGTGTTCAGTGCCGTTTGAAAGCAGTAGTCAGGATATTGATGTTAGGAAATTTAGAAAAATTATATATCAAGCTGTTTGCTTCTTTCTGTTTCCTAGTGGCAGTATTTTGAGTGTTCCTGCTTCATTTTTCTCTCCATCTACCATCCAGATCTCTGACATTTCGTTAAGGAATGCACTATCCACTGCTTAATGAAAGTAAAACTGTTTAGAGAAAGAAGGTTATGTTTGAAAATGAGATTGCTCATTATGTGCTCTAGTTCACTGTCTTTTGGGTTTTATGTAAGCAGAAACAGAAAAAACAGAGTGGGTTAATTGATTTTAAAACCTTTCAGAAAACAGTATTTTCTAGTTCAGTGTTCATCCCCTCATCAGCGATGAAGGGATTCCATGCTGGAGAAGAAGGGGTTGCCCTTGGAAAGAAATTTGCAGATTTTCTGCTGTGTATATCCCTCAGAGCCAGCACCCCTTAGCCGGCACTGGTTGCCTGGGCCTGCTGCAGGCAGAGCAGCTGCACTGGCTGCTTTCTGGGCTGAACTCATGCAGAAAACACCATTGGAAGAAAGATTTCTTCTGCCTGGAAAATGTTTGGAAGCCATTGCCCTAGAGTCATTTGTTAGCTGCTCAAGTTTAGTGTGGTTTCATTTGCTTCCTCCTAAAGCAAATTTCTGTTATAAATTTTAATATGATCTCATGGGTTCTATGAAATATTTAACTTTAAAAACATAAGGAAAGCACAAAACGAATCCCATCACAACAGGAAAGTAGCATATTAATGAACTAGGACATGTGAAGAAGTAGCCTCTTTTTGCTCTAGCTGGATAATTTTTGTATTTTCACTTATTTTGTATTTGTTTTGCTAAGTTGCATTTGTCTGCCCTTAAAACCGGTATTTTTCTCCTGCCTGTTCCCTGTACACAGGTGTTCCAGAATTTGGGATCTCCATATTTATCTGTTTTAACTCAGTGCATGCACATCTGTGAAATTTTTATTAAGACTTATTTCATTGTCACTTTTTCATCTGGTCAGATTATAAGCCTTTAAAAAAAAGTTAAGGGAAGCCTTAGTAGATAAGCTAATTTTTAAAAGTTATATCATATTTTCCAATCTAGACACTAACTTGCTGGTCTTAATTTGCCTTTTCATATAGGCCTTTTGAGCATACCATTTGAAGTAGGTCCCTTTCTCTTGTTTTCAGTATTGGCCCTTGCTTTTTTCAAACTTCATTGCTCTTATTACAGTTGATTTATTTATGTATATCTTTACTGGTCTTTCATCCACCTCTTTCTATAAGGGCAAGGACCTCATCTCTTGATTGTGAAGGGTTGAGTTCTTCATGCCTAGTGACAGTGCCTAACATATACTAGGCACTCAACAAATGGCTTTTGAATGAATGACTGTAGGCCAGCTCCAGCGAATTTTGTACTGGCTGCTTAGTATCTTATGGTGAGAACAATTCTGAGGCCACATATGGAATAAAAAGAAAAAAGTGCTATAATCAGTTGGTAACTATAAAGAAAGAATAAACCTACGTGTGCTACGCATTGGCTGCCCATTCTGTGCATAATAGATAATTCACAGGATTGTATTTGCTTCTGCATCTCTGAATTGATGAAGTATCTGGCTAAAGTATGAGGGCCATTGAAGCCCTACTTCATGCCAGATCTCCTGACCCTCTGGTAGGTGAAACAGCATATGGGGCAAGAATATTGGTTCTTTCGCCAGACCACCTGGCTTCCTAGTTCTGTGACCTTCCAGGGTTGTCCAGCCTTTTGGCATCTTTGGACCACACTAGAAGAAGAAGAGTTGTCTTGGGCCACACATTAAATACATTGTGACATGGAATCACAAAAAAAAAATCTCATAATGTTTTAAGTAAATTTATGATTTGTGTTGGGCTGCATCCATATTCATTCTGGGCTGTAATTTGGACAACCCTGCACGTTTGTAAACCTCTATTTGTGTGTTTTGGATTTTTTTTAGTCACTATCATAGGCATCATAAGAGAACTGACCTCATAGAGTTATGGGACAGTTACATGAAATAAATCCCATGTCTTAGCCCGCTAAAGCTGCCGTAACAAAATGCCACAGACTGGGTGGCTTAAATAACAGACAGTTGTTTCTCACAGTACTGGAAGCTGGAAGTCCAAGATCAAGGTGCTATCTAGCATGGTTGAATTTTTGGTGAGATATCTCTTCCTGGTTTGCAGGCTGTGTGGCCTTCTCACCCTTGACATGGTTTTTGCTTGGTACATACACATGGGGACAGAGAGAGAAAATATCTCATTCTTCTTATAAGGCCGCAAATACTCTCTGACTAAGAAGGACCTCACCCATATGACTTCATTTAACCTCAGTTACTTTCAGAAAACTTTGTCCCCAGATATAATCACATTGGCTGTTACGGCTTCAACATACGAATTTGGGGGTGGGGGGGCACACAGTTCAGTCCATAGCATCTAGTAATGCACTCAGAATAGTGTGTAATGTTCAGTGTTAGTTGTTTTGTTCTTTGATCCCTGTATTTAAGAAACTTGTCTAGTCAGAGACTAGAGAAGTGTTTCAGCCAGAGAAATTGGAGCTAGCCCAAGAGAGTAAGTGAAGGATGGGTTGGATTTAGTTAGATATGGAGAGAGGAGATGACAGCCCACCGAGATGGGAAACAGCTAGATGTGTTTAGTTTTAGGGGGCACAGCTGTCTGACAAAGGATGTGTGAAGTTCTTGGCTCTAACTCATAAAAAACAGACTTCTAGAAGGCAAGAACTTGGGTGTACATGCATCGTCCATTTACGCTTGCACTGTAGTGCAAGTCAGTAGGCAGGTAATGGAATCACCACATGAAGATTTGTGTAGGCCTTGGGGTTAGGCTCTGCGGTGAGCCTGAGCAGTGTAGAACAGTCAGCTAGTTCCAGAAAACAAGGGATAAAGAGGGTCACGAAAGCCAGTCAGCATAGTCTGGATCTCATGGAGTAAAGAACCACACCGTAAGTTCGGAAGTCATGATGCTGGAGAGGTCAGTCTGGGAGGGTCAGAGATGGAACCAAGAAGTGCACGACATTCAAGGCAGAGAAGTTAGTGAAGAGATGATAGATAATCTGCTCCTTAGAGGGGAAAAAATGGGACAGCAGAAATAAGGAGGAAAAGGAAGGTATAAGAAAGATTCAGGGAAGGAACATTAGGATTTAATGTAAGATAGGAGATGATAGAGAAAAGCCAAGGTGCTAGAGAGGCTTCAAGAACACTGACATCGTTGGTGGGACAGGATGTAGGAAAGAAAGCGTACTTAGAGGAGTTGGTAAGGAAGAAAATGAATTTTCTTATTGACTACATTGTGTTTATGAATAGATTGTCAAGTGCAAATGAATGGTGAGCATTTAAAAATGAGACTGGAGAGACTTGAGCGGAAGTTTACCTGCCCATCACAGCCTTCTTGATTTCCCTCTTCCTCTCTACAGCAGTGGCCATGGTGGTGGTGAACACAGTAGACACTGCTAGACTAGTAACATGTAACATATGTGCCAGACACAGCTCTTAAGCACTTCACCGATTTAACTCATTTAGGACTCAGAGCACCCCTATGAATGTTACTATATTTTACAAATGAGGAAATTGAGACAGGTTAAGTGACTTATCCAAGGTCACACCACTAGTATTAAGGAGCTGATTCTGGAATTCAGTCCTAATCACTATTACTGCCAGATCATTTAGTATTTGATTACATTGTCCTGTGTTTTATGGTTTGTATGAATTAGCCTAATTTGAACTAGATTGTTAGCTCCTAATTAAAGCAGTGATAAAGAACTTTTTATTTTTATGGAATAAGAAAATTTTTTTTTAAAAAAGCTCAGTGCTGGCATGTTTTTGAGGCAGCGGACACATGCACTATAAATTGGTACAACCTTTCTAGAAAGCAATTGAGCATTGAGTGTCCAGGGTTGTTAAATTGTTTATAACCTTTAATCTCATAAGCTTATTCCTGGTTATTTAGTCTCAGGAAATAGTTTAAAAGGAAAAGAAAACGTGTTTGTACAAGAATTTAATTGCTGAACTTCTTTTAATTAAAGCAAAAATTTGGAAACAACCTTAATGACCACTAGTAGAAGAATATTTATGTAAATTATATCATATTAATCCATTTGGTGTAAAGTAGGTAGATGTGTGAACAAAAGCTAGAAGAAAACATGGAAATAGCAACATATTTATTAAAGTTCCAGAGTTACTTAATAAATGGCCGTGAATTACAGATAACTGAGAACTGCCAACTTTTTTCCTTAACTACAGCATACCATCTTCAGGACATAAGTATTCTCATTGTAATGACATTTCAAAATCATATTACACTATTTGAAAAGGCATAAAATGCAGCATTGTTGATAACAATCAACATTGTTTTAAAATCTTGCCTTGATTTTTAAAAATATTTTGACCTTGATAATGAGCATTAAAAGCTTTTTTTTTTTTTTTTTTTTCAGTATTGCCAAAAAGCTATGTCAAAGTTATGGAAAAATACTAGCCTGAGAAGAGAAAGAACCAGCTAGACTGCATAATGAAATACACTGTCGGGGGGAAGCTCATGACTCGTGAGACCAGCAGCTTCTGTCTGTTCAGGGTCTAGTAGTTGACTGATGCTGTTCACAGAAGAGAGCTCATTTGATCTTTGCATAAACTATCCCTCAGAGGCAGGTAGACCAGCCATGGTCACCATCATTTCACAGGCAAAAGTGCTGACAGAGTAAAAGACTACTTGCGTCAATAGATGAGATAGCTGGAACACGGCTATACTGTACCCTGGAAACAGACCTAGGAAGTGACCCAAAGTAACTTTAGTTCATTATAGTAGAGGAAGTGTTTTCCACGCACGTAGCGAAGTAGCAGTGGTAACAGAGTGACCAGTATGGAAGTTCTCAGTCATAAAGGTGGTAAAGGAGTGTTTAGAATGGGCTAGAGAGAGGCAGAACCTTGAACTGGGGAGTGATTCTCATGAACTGATACTTCAGACCAGCCAGGCGGCTGTGTGAACAGTGAGATCACTTTGACTGAAGAGAAGAGTGGGATCATGGCGAGGAGTAATCCTGAAGGTAGATACACAGCGGTGGGCCAGGGTATGAAGACAGCTGGTAGGCAAGGCCTCGGCTTGAGGAGTGCTGCAGGGGTGAAGCACAGCAGATGCTGCTCATTTGTAGTAAATTTTGAACCAGTCTTTGTACACTAATATTTTAATATATTTTGGCATTTTACAATGGGAATAATAATGATATTGGTGCTTTAATGTTAACGGGAGGTGTCCTTTAAAAAGGTGACTTTGTTTGCATATCCATTCTCTAGACCCCTTAGCCATACATTAGAAATTCTAATTACTTCTGGATTACTGAGTATAGACACATTTTTTTATTTTCCAGGATTACATTCCATCACAACAAGATATTCTGCTTGCCAGAAGACCCACCAAAGGCATTCATGAGTACGACTTTGAAATTAAAAATGTTCCTTTTAAAATGGTTGACGTAGGTGGTCAAAGATCAGAGAGAAAACGTTGGTTTGAATGCTTCGACAGTGTAACATCAATACTTTTCCTTGTTTCCTCAAGTGAATTTGACCAGGTGCTTATGGAAGACCGACTAACCAATCGCCTTACAGAATCTCTGAACATTTTTGAAACCATTGTCAATAACCGGGTTTTCAGCAATGTCTCCATTATTCTCTTCTTGAACAAGACAGATTTGCTTGAGGAGAAAGTGCAAATTGTGAGCATCAAAGACTATTTCTTAGAATTTGAAGGGGATCCCCACTGCTTAAGAGACGTCCAAAAATTCCTGGTGGAATGTTTCCGAAACAAACGCCGGGACCAGCAGCAGAAGCCCTTGTACCACCATTTCACCACTGCTATCAACACGGAAAACATCCGCCTGGTTTTCCGTGACGTGAAGGATACTATTCTGCATGACAACCTCAAGCAGCTTATGCTACAGTGATGTACAAAAAGACTTGCTGTTTTAATAGCTTATTATCCTTTTGATTGTTTTCTGTTTGTTTTGTTTTTTAAAATAGTTTACAACAGGAATTAGAAAAATCTTGATTCTCTGTTTAAGTTCTTGGAAATCTTAGTCCTCCTTCTGCGGACTTGGGTTTGTGGCTGAAAGCTGCTGAATAAAACATCGCCAGTATCTGCTGAAGTTCAGGCTTTGATCTGTTTCACTGTGGCTTCCATTGGAGTGGAGTTGTAATTTCCTGCCAAACCTCAGATGAGGTATATTTTAGGCTTTAAATTCTTCTACTTTCAAACTTTCAAAATTTTATAGTGTCAAGTATAGAAGGTGTCCTTAAATATTTGTAGGTATGAGGCTAAGAATATTCAGTTCTAAAACAAGTAAGATACCTTTGTCTGCCCAACACATAGCACCGACACTCATGCCTGGCTTTGTGGTGACCTATTTTGAAATGGCTGTTGGAAAAAATTTTGATCCTTAGGAATGATATTCTATAGATTTACACAGATTTAGGCTTCATGTATTTTTAATTACTTATAATACACAACATTCATTTTGATTTTCGGTCTCTTTGGTTTCTAGTGTTTTAAAGTTTACATGAAGATTTCTGGTTTGATGCTAAAGAAAGTTCACAAATGGTACGGGGGAGCAAAGGCAAGCAAGTGCCATATTATAGTGTTGTGGTCGAAGTTATGAGTGAAGTATAATTTATCCTTTTCATATTTAAATATCATAATAAAAGTGCCAGATGTGTGAAACATTCTGGCCATAGCAGTAACTAAAAATTGCAAGCAACTTAATAGAACTTTCCAAAAAAACATACCCTTCCCAGAATGTTACGTGTTTTACTCTCAGACTTTTAAATCCTGTCTCAGATGATTTGTGGCCTTACTGTAGGAAATCATTGTCATACCAACACAAACATCTTTCTTTTGCTCTCCTGTCTGTATCCATCAACTCAGAGGGTGGCATTTATGGGACCTTTTTTTGGTCATTTGGAGCTTCCCAATGGCAGTATTTTCATGTCAAACTATTCAAGAAGGTATTAACTTCAGATTCCTTTTCAATCTTGGTATGTCACTAAAAAGCACAGAATACGCATGTTTGTATTATTGTTTATGAAATTCCAGCTCTATTGAGGTACATTTTGAATGTTTTAAGGATATTCACACCAAAATATGATTGCATTTGACCTCCCTCCATCGCATACCAAATGAAAACATACCCATGAGGTCATTTTGTGATTACAAATACATTCACAGTGAACTCTTCAGAAGGGCTGGTTTGCAGTACTGAAAATATTGGCTTGCAGGTTGTGTGCAGTGTTAGAATTGGATTAGAGAAACAGATGTACAAGGCTGAGGCAGTTTGGAAAGTCTGGCAGCTTTTCTCTTTTTCCTGTAAATTGTGATTAAGACTGTGATATCCGTCACTTTACTGTATAGCTGACTGGGTTCTCAGGTATTTTCTTGGCTAGAAAGTTCTTGAAAGATGGGTCAACATTATGGAGCACCCAGCCTTTCCAAGACAGTGACTCTTGGTCTGTCTTGCTGCCTAGTATGAGACTAGGGCTTTTCAGTGTGCTAACCAGGGATTGCACTTAACATACCTGACTTTGCATTTGAAGTTTCATCCTCCATCAAGATGTCCATAGTCACTTCCAGTGTTTTCATGCCTTGGCATACATGACCTCCAGAGCTGTCTCGCACATGATAGTGCAAGTGTTCGTAGGATAGTTCATGCATGTTTGAGTAGTTCTTCATATAGTGTTTCTTGCCAAAAGAATAGTTTGTTTAAATTCACAGAGTTAAAATAATTTTAGTGCTAGTGAATATCTTAATATGTGCACGGTAACATCTGGACTTTTTGGTGGGGAGTCTCTAAATTTAGCACGTAGTTTTATGGAATGGCCAAACCAATATCTCCATGAAGACTGAAGTAAGTTCCCTGTGTAAAGAGGAAACAGTCTACTTACATTGTATTTATGTTCAGTGATACGAAACGTAAATATTGACTAACAAAACAAATCACGTTTCCCCATGTTGACTACCACCAAGAAATGTTGAAATACCAAGTAGATATGGTATTATTTTGGGCATTTGTGATTTTCTTTCCTGATGTGTGTGATGTCTCCATCGACATCCTCATATAGTAAAATCTAGAATATACTTTGAGGCAGTAATTTACTTCTACTTAATGGCAGGCCTGATTAGACAGAACTGTAAAGTTCAATCTGAATGCTTTAGTCCACACTTTATATACTGTATTTTTAAACCATTTCAAGGAGTCATGCCTGTATCATGAAAATGAGATCCTTTTGAAATACCACTCTATGAAGGGGAAGGGGAAATGTAATAAACAAAATGGAGAGGGTGCTCATAGTTTTTGCTATGCCAATTTCTCCCTAATCTAAGAAAGTAATTTAAATGGAAAGTTCTTTTGCATATTATATTTTCTGAGCCTTTGTGGTTATGATTTGGAATAACATGTGCCTAATTCTCTTACATTCTGTTCTTAAATCTGAATGTCTTGTTTAAATCTTAAATGTCCCAAGTGTCTTTGTTGACCCTGAAGAAATTTATAGTACACAGAGTTGCCTTATAAATCAAAGAACACCACAAATTTGGGCCTTGATTTTTATACAGGGAGAAGGTCTGTCAGATGTTTTCTGAAGGCCCAAATAATTCAAGGTGTGCCTCTGCCACTTAAATATTATTTTTAATAACCTGAATCATTGCTGTCTGCCAAATATTGTATTAAGTCCAAACCTTCATTTCAGTCTTTCTGTCTGGAAAGGGCACTTGATGGCTAGAGAGCAACCGCAAACCAAGAAGGCAATGTGGAGTGAAAAAGGTCATTCGTTTTTGTTTTAAGTGTCTTTGGCACATACTGATATTTTACAAAGTGAGGATCCTCTGGTAAATCACTCAAGTGAGGTTGTTTAGGAAAATCTTTGTTCAGTTGGTGGCAGTGGTTGGTTTAAAGGAGAAGGAAGATGATCTTAATACCAGAAATGATTAGAAGTATTGATTTAGATTTGATAGAAATCATATGCCCTTTAATTTTTTAAAAGGAAGGAGTAAATCTCAACAGCCATGTATACCCACATACTTGTATTTATGCTTTTGATAAACTGTATTTTCAGCATTAATACATATATCCAGTTATGCCTTATTTATATGAAGAAAAAAGTTACCAAGTTATGTTCTGAAAATCAAATCACTGAGAAGCCCTCAAATTGGTGCTTTCATTATATAATGATACATTTAGACAAAACCCCAAACCAAGCCATTTGAAACAAGATTCTCTCCATTGCAATTTGTAGCAATGTTATTTCTGTATAATGTAATGAGAAGACTAAATATCAGTGTTAACTCAATTTCTTGTGTGAATCCATGAAATCGTGCCTGTAAAGCTCAGTCAAGTATTTGTAACAAACTCCCTAATAAATCTAGAGAAAGTCACTTTGTTACTTCTTCATGTCTTTTAGTTTTATTGGAGGAATCAGGACAGAAATTTTGCATGTGTCTTTTTCACTTGAAGATCTGACTTAGTGCTGAGTCTCTCTTTCCCATCATATCAACAGGTTAAGTTCCATTAGTCACAGATGATCTGGTCATGTGTTATGCTGCTTGACTAACAGTACTGATTTTTTTTTAAAGGTAGCCTATGCTAAAAAAAGTCTTTTGTTCAGTAAACATGAAGAAGGGAGGGATTGTATATGAGTGGGTATATCTTGTCTCCACATTCCAAGTAAAGGAAATGATATATACATACCCATTTTATGGTACAAGATTAGGGCTTAATAAATTTATACTAGAAATTGAATTATAAGTCTAAACCTGAACATTTTAAACAAGTTGGACTTAATGGTTTTTCAACAAGTTGATGGTAGCCTTAGAAGGCTGGTTAGTGATTATTAACATCTTATATACAGTGTTTGTACTGCTAGCATTCTCATGTCTGTACTTGAATGTATAGTTAGCATGTAAATAAATGTGTTCATTCTGTTTCATTCAGGTCTATCCATCTGATTTCAAATGCCAGAGCTTATATGGACCAAAAAGCATTAATTGTAGGGCAGTAATTTCTGGGTTGATAAAGGATTTTACAATCTATCCAAATCTGTCAATGATGAAAGTTTCCAGCTGTATTGAAGGATGCTAGGACCCACTATGCATAAATTTTCAATCAGTGAATGTCATGGTAGAAATATGCTACTTCCTTGGTATCTGATTTGGGTTTGTATTTAGAAAGCTTGTAGTTCTTGCTATAGTAAGGGATGCATTTGTCTTCAGTCATGCGTATTTGATGGTACGGGGGTGGGGGGCGGGGGGGCGGGAAGCAAGGGGAGCAAGTAGGGGTTAAGTTTTAGGAAACATGATGTAACAATGCAACAAACTATACCATTCTCCTTTTTTTACCTCTTACTTGAAATCAAAAGCGCAAAATGTTTTCACTGGCTTTTCTGTCCTAGACTTTGAGGAGAGCTCATGTACCACAAGAAGCCTTATCAAAAAGTATATTTTGTAACAACCTCATAGATACTGTACCTAACAACATGCTTTGTATTAGCTCTGTATAAAAGTATTTGTGGTTTAGGATTTTTTATACATATATCTTTTTATAACTTTCCAGGAACTAAGCACATTATCTGATATTGTAAATTATTTTCTGTCAGGCTTTACTTCAGGATTGGCAATAAATTATTTCTAAAGGAAGTGGAAAGAACAGTTTGGTTTTATGAGTTGCTAGTTCGTTAAGGCTTTTTACTTTTGTACATATTTTGCAAAATTTTTGCCTCTTGCTATTATAATATTTGCTTTGTAAAGATTACTGACATTTAATAAACATTTATAAAACTTCAGCACTATGATGTTATTTAAACTGTTTGCTGAATGTAAAATGTGAAGCAGACACTTAGTTTAAAATTTGAAAGCAAAAGTTTCATCTAGTGACTTAAAGCACGGAAATCTCTAGTTTGGCAGATCTCCCAACAAAACTTTGCCTTAATATTACTCTATAAACTTACTAAAGATGGAGATGTGGATTTCGTCCACAGAAGTTCTTAGACTCTTAATATGTTTTGATGTGGAAATGGGGAAAGGAGAAACACTCATTTTTCTCTGTGCTTCTCTTAAAATTGCTAAACTTGTATCATGGTGGTTCTGGGCATACAGTTTGTCCACCTGCAGGAATAGTGCTGTTAAGTCTATTGTACTTGAAATGGTGTTTTATAAAAACAAACGTTACCACTCATTTTATGTTTCAAGAAATTTTAGATGAATTGCAGAAAAAAATCGCAAAGGTACCAGAACTCCACTATTCTCCACTCCCTTTATTGTATTTTCCCCAATTAATATCTTGCATTCATATGGTGCATTGGTTGTAATTCAGGAACCAACATTGATACTTTAATATTACCTAAGCCCATCCTTTATTCAGATTTCCTTAGTTTTTCCCTAATGTCCCTTTTTGTCCCAGAATCCATCCAGAATAGCATACTTCATTAGCTATCCTGTCTCCAAGCTCTTCTTGGCTATTTCTCAAAATTTTCTCGGTTTGATGACCTTGGCAATTTTGAGGAAGAGGAATGCTGATCAGGTACAGGCATATCTTTGTTGCGTTTCACAGATGGAAGGCAAGACCCTCCACCAGCGAGAAGATTACCACTCATTTTACTGCGGTGGTCTGCAGCTGAGCCCACAGTATCCCTGAGGTATGCCTGTATGTTCTAGATCATCCCCCTATTGGGGTCTGTTTGTTTTGTTGTTGTGTTTTCCCCCCTTTTCATGATTAGACTGGGTTATGTGGGGACCACAGAGGTAAAGTACCAATCTCATCACATCCTATCAGGCACACACTCATCTTTTCCCTTTACAACCTCAGCTAAATTAGAAGGTGTTACATAAATTTTGGCATGTTTATATCTTTTCTCAGCTGGCATTTGTTGAAAGCTGAGCATGTACTTTTCTTCCCCAAAGCAGAACGAAGGGCCTTTCCCCACAACGAATTGCAAACCAGGAGTGTTAAACGTTCAGTGGCAAGGTCTGTACTCCAGACTGGTTGGCTCCAGGCCTTTCTGGCAATTCAGATTTCTTTTCCAAGACCTCATCATTAACATTGTTTCACTGCTGGTCCCAAGCAAAACTGAGGTAGATAAGTTTGGACTTAAAAATATCTATAAACCTACAAATACCTACAAATCTGCAGATTGGAACCAGGTCAATAATGGCTTGCTTCTGGAGATTTAAGATCTTTTAAATCGACTCTAAACTCTCTTGAGTATTTTTGAATCCCCAAAACAAACCAAGAAGTCTTCCTATGTTACTGTTGGAACAAAATACTCATCATTGTCAAAGGAAATCACTAAAACCCAAACTTTTGTCTAGTAAAGTGTTCATTTTCAACGATAGTGGTTAATTGGCACAATCACATCATTGACACAGATGTTCTCTCAAAATTACCTGTTCCACTGCCCCCATGTGGGTTGTTGGAAGAGAAAAGAGGTTTTGGTCACAAGAATGCAGGAAATGCCAGAGTTTATAGGTTAAACCAGACTTTTGTGTGGATGACAGGAAATTTGGCATATCCTCCTAGGGCAGTGTTTTAAAATTTGTACTGTGTGTTTCCTTCAAATTAGCGGGGTACCTGGAATACGGTGGTGCAGTTGGAGTGAGGCACATCTATGAAGACACCACAACTATATCTTACAAGTGGCCCTTTTTCAAGTACATCAAGACAAAAGGCTCAGACAAGTGTTCCATACAAACTAATGAGTCAAGGCATCTGTGCGTTTTATGCTCTCTTGGCCCCACGGATACCGAGGGAGTTGTGTCCACAGTGAATATTTGCACTGTGTGGAGGAGTGTTGATTTGTCTTTTTTCCATAAAGGTGCAGGATAGAAAACACAAGGAATGAAGAGTTTTTAAAAGTTGATCATTCTTGTAATTACACTACAGCTTTAGACTTGGGCTTGGTGTCAAGTGTTAAAGAGAAGGAACAAGTTTATAAGATGAAACTGAAGGCCAAACGCTGCTGGCCTTGGGAGAGAAGTGCAGGGTTTTTAAAAAATGTTTCTATTGTTCCACATGGAAAATCCCAGTTCTTGCAAACTTTGTGGGATTTATTTAGCTAGCTGGTTTCATTGAAACTTTTATCTTGGAAAACAAAAATCACGGCACCCATGGCTCACCAGCTTTGATGAAATTATTTAACGCTGGTTCTGTACAGGCAACGCTGGCATGTATGCAGCAGGTTGCAGTTTGGGGGATATTGCTTAAATCATAAAAGAAATCTAGAGTAAGGACTGGATGCCCAACCTTACAGAATTAACGGACATCATCGATTTAAGACAATTATTTTGTACAGCATAATCCTTTCTAAAGTGCACATAACAGTAACTTTCAGACTCTGCACAACTTTTAAGGCACAGGGTACCAACCTCCCTTTCCAACCAGCATCCCAAATAAACGGGACCACTTCTCCCCTCCCCCTTTTCTCTCTGGCTCTTTGCCTCAGGGTAAACCTTCCACATCCTGTAAGTCCCCTCTCCCCCAAGCTTTCTTGTCCTCTACCTACCTCAAGGCCAGGAGCAGTTTTCTTCCTTTGAGCGCCTAGAGCATCTTATTCCTCTCTCAGGACACTTAAAAGGCTTTACCTTACTTTGAGCCACCTAGGTTCACGTTTTAGCTCCTCTCCTCGATTGTGAGATGAGCTTGACAGCGTTACACAGATACTGTTCTTAAGCACCCTAAGTGCCCGCCTGACATGCTGGGCTGTTCCTGAGAGTAACCAACACAGCTTCTACTTCTTAGGGGACCCCCGACTGAGTTGGGAAGGAAGCCCGAGTGAAAGCAAGCTGTGGAGGGGTGGCGAGAACCCTCCCTCCCAGTGTGGAGCTCACCACCAACTAGCTTGAGGAGTGGCCTGATTAGACTGATTATCTGAGAAATAAGGAGGTTGAGTTAGATGATTTCCATGTTCTTGACTACATTCAGATTCTCGAAAGCCTTCTAGGATGTTCTAGTTTGTAACAAAAATGGTTTATAGCATAATATAAAATTGGAGTTGACAATACAAAGGTCCTAGGGTAAGATCTTTAATTTTTCCTGAGGGGAAAAAATAAAGGGAGGGACTTACAGGGAAAATTGGAAGTATCTTTGAGGACACTATGGGTAATTCAATAGTTGGTTGGTTGTTTTCTTAATTCACCTCAGTGGTTTTTAATTTTTTTCCCCCGTACTCTTTCTCATGGGGAATTTCCTTGTATCAACCCATAAATATTCAGGATCACATTCGTCTTCCTGAGGTGTAAAAGTTAGGATCTGAGAGCCCCAAAAACTCATTGGAGCTCTCAGATTCATTTGTTTTGTGGTCTCTTTTGGGCCTCCTATAAAAGTACCGCAGACTGGGTGTCTTCCAACAGAAATGTGTTCCTCACTCTTCTGGAGACCGAACATCTTAGATGAAGGCCGTGAGTGTGACAGGGTTCAGGAAGGGGGCCTCTGTTGTTCGCAGACTGCCAGCTTGGCATCGCATCCTCCCTTGGCAGAAGGGAAGCTGGCTGGCCCGTCCATCCTACGGGAGCTAACCTGTTCGTGGGGACTCCGCCCTCATGACCTAATGACCTCCCAACGGCCTCCCCTCCAAAAACCACCACATTGGGAGTGAGGCTCCATCTTTACAAACACGTGATTCCATTTACGTGAAATGTTCAGAACAGGTAAGTCTATAGACACGGAACATAGACGAGCGGTTGCTGGAGGCTGGCAGGAGGGGAGATGGAGGGGCAGTAAGTGCTAATGGGGGTGGGCATTTGGGGGAGGGCATTTGGGGGAATGATGGTACAAATTTGAGGGGGACACAAACATTCAGTCTGTAATAGTCACCAAGATGTCATCAGAATTGACTTGAACCCTGCTTGATTATCTCTTTTTCTCCAAGAAGAACCCTTTTTCTAAATGTAAGTTTTCTCCATGTTCTCTGTATGCTACCCAAAACGGAAACTCCTGATCTTACTACTCTGTCACAACTACCATAAGTAATTTTGATGTTTTTAGTCAGTTTTCCCTGTATATATCCTTAACACAAGCCCCCAAAACAATTGTTTTAAGTAGTGGCATATCTCACTTGCTGCCTATTTATATCTTTCTACTTGAACTTCTTGCCAAAACTGGTCATGTGATTTATTCTTACAGTAGCAAAAATGATGACACCTACTTTGTTTTCAAATTCCTGCAAATCAGATTACTTCTGAGCCTGACTTTTTCTCCAAAACACTAGTGAGTTTGCTT